TATTGGTACATTTAAGGAAAACAATACAGTTAGTTACATTCATCACTGGGAGTCCCTTTTCTTTCTTTTTTCCCCCCATTAAGTTTATTGGTACATTTAAGGAAAACAATACAGTTAGTTACATTCATCACTGGGATCTTGTACCAATACCTGATGTATCATGATTCTTATTTTTCCGCATTCCCCTGCTCTCCCTTTACCCCCTCCACCCTTCCCTATTTACAAAAACTTTGTTTCCATTTTTTCCTTTTCTCTTTTTTTTCTTTTCCCTTCTTTCCTTTCCCCTACCCTTTCCACTTCCTCTACTCCTTTAGATCTTTTCTTCCTATTTCACATAGTCAGTTATGCAATTTGAACCTTATTTACACTTTTAGTTTTTCACACAGGAGAAACTATTCAGTATTTACACGTGTGTCCTATTTATTTCACTTAAGAGTATGGTCTCAGTGTGCATCCATTTAGCTATAAATGACTCTCATTTCTCATTCTTTTAAATTTTATTTTTAAAAACTAATTTTATCGGTACATTTAATGTATGCAATATAATGACATGCATTGTTGGAAATTTGTACCTTTCCATAATCTTGGTTCTTATTTTTCCCCCATTCTTCTGCCTTCCCTTCAAACTCTCCCTCCCTATCTACAAAGACTTTGTTTCCATTAGCTTTCATTTTCTCATATTAAGTCCATTCCTTTCTTTCCTTTCCCCCTACCCTTCCCATTTCCCCTTCCTCTTTGTCCCTTTTCTTCCTATTTCACATTATCTATTTATACCTTGTAGTCCTTATGTACACTTTCAGTTTCTCACACTAGAGAAACTATTTGGTATTTATACATGTGTGTCCTATTTATATCACTTGAGTATCACCTCCATGTGCATCCATTTAGCTATAAATGTCTCTAATTTCTAATTTTTTATGGCTGAGTAGTAGTCCATTTTATATAAAAAAACCCCCACACTTTCTTAATCTAGTCTCCTGTTGATGGGCAATTGGGCTGCTTCCAAGTTTTAGCCATTACAAATTGTGCTACTGTCAACATGAGTGCATATATATCACTATGGCATGATTTAGTTTCTCATTCTTTATGTTTGAGTAGTACTCTATTTTATAGAAAATCCACATTTTCTTAATCTAGTCTCCAGTTGATGGGCAATTGGGCTGTTTACAAGTTTTTGCTATTACAAACTGTGCCACTATAAACATGGGTGCATATATATATATATATATATATATATACACACATATATACACACACACACACACACACATATATGTATATATGTATGTGTGTATATATATATACATATATATATATATATATATGTGTGTGTGTATATATATATATATATATGTGTGTGTGTGTGTGTATATGTATATATCACTGTGGTATGATTCTTTCACTTCTTTTGGAAAGATACCCAACAGAGGGATGGCTGGGTCAAATGGGACCTCTAATCCTAGTTCTTTAAGGTATCTCCATATTGATTTCCATAGTGGTTGCACCAGTCTGCACTCCCACCAATGGAGATGTGTTCCCTTTTCCCCCACAACCCCGCCAGCATTTGTTATTGGTTGATTTTTTTTTTTTTTAATAAGGGATTGAACTCAGATCCTTGCACTTAACGAGGCAGGTGGTGGAAACACTGTGCTAAATCCCCGCCCAATTGGTTGATTTCTTGATAGCAGCCATTCTTTATGGGATGATATGGAATCTTAGTGCTGTATTCGCCTGCATCTCTTGAATGTCTGGTCCTGTTTCATCACAAACACTAACAAAAAAAGATAAAATCTTTCTTTAAAATTTTCTCTTTCATGGTAGGTTGGTGACCTCAAGACAAATATCCATGTGTCTGAGGGCTTCTAATTTGTCTAGGGAACCAGAGGAAGATTTTAAATCAAACCAGACTGACAAATCAGTCTGACCAAGCTGTTCATGGGTTAGAGGAACCCCAAGGTAAAGCAACACAGGAAGGCCTATGAACCACTTGGATAGACATGCAAAGGAAACTGTGCCTTTCTCCCGAGCTGAAGCACACTGAATGTTGGCCCCAAAGCTGGGGTGGCTCCCTTAGCATTGCTATGGGATCACTTGAGTTTTAATGTACTCAAAATATTTTAGCCTCAGTTTCAGAAGTACTGTGAAGGCGTCAGGCGCGACAAGGGACATTTGCCTAAGCACATTTCATAGAAATATGACCACTGTACATTGTCAAGTGAAAAGAAACACATCTCTAAATAATTCTGTCATCTCTCTATCTTCTATCTATGATTTAGTTCAATTATGTAGAAAATGCAGGTATGTTTTGTTTATATATGTAAAGCAAGATCTAGAATGACATTAAATATTAACAAGTACTTTTAGTTGGGAACTTTCACCTTATGCTTCAAGAAACTTGTATTAAGTTCTGTCAAGTGACTATGTGATGCTTTTATAATTTTGCTTTAAAAAGTATTTCCACTGGGGGGAATACGCTATGCCCCCAATTATTTTTGTTATTAGGCATTATGTAAGACTTTTTTTCCCTTCTTTATAATTTTCTTTTCTCAGAATCATCTATTACATTTATGTCCAAAGAATAATTACAGCAGGGAGAATAAGTAAGATTAACATGACCCAGGAAAAGATAATTAATTTGGCGAGACACTCGGTTCCCCACTGAGGACCCACACTGGGAAGCGCATGCTCTTCAGGCTCCTGGCTTGAGGGTGGGTGGGCGCTGTATCTGGGTTTGTCGGGCATGGGAACCTGGCCAAGTTCCCAAGGGTGAAAGAAAACAAAGTGAACCCTGAACACCAGCCCTGCAGCTTATGTGTCTATCTGGAGCTGTACAAAAAACTTGGGAACAGTAAACTCCCAGGAGTTTGTTCTGTTCTTCTGTCTCGAGAACAGAGATCATATGCATCCAACTCAGAGATTGGCAGCCATACTCTAGCTTGAAAACTGGCTGTGTCTTTCCTCTTGAATGTCTCTCTGCCCCTCTAACTGCTATAGAATTTAAAACAGTACTTGCCCAACTTCAGCCTGTAATGCAGTTGTCTGGGATACTTGTTAAACATGCGAACTGAACTCCTGGCTCCTATCCTGGGCCTACCTAATTAGACTTGGCTTGTTTAGCTGTTCCCAGGTGCAACAATGTAGGTATCCTGTACACTACATCCTAAATTGGAACGTTAAAGGATGCAACAGGCATTAATGCTTTGGTGTTTAATCTCAGCATTCATTGGAAAATTGAAAAGAGAGATCTATTTCAAGAGGTCTGCTTCTTTGGTTCTGAGCATTCCATGTAACTACCTTTGTCTAGTGGGATGTTATAGATATGATTCAAGAAAAGGCTTGCCAAGTACTTATGAAACTGGGCTGTCTGTTTCATGCTCCTGTCATCACCAGAAGAAGCATATGTCTAGGCAAGCATGTTGGTCTCCCTGGAGGAACATCAGACATCTGTAAAGCAGAGTGTACCAACCAATGCATGAGTCCTAGAATAAAGTCATTGGCCAACTCATAATCAACACAGGCTGAGATTAGATGAACTCAGCCTTCAGAAGTTGAGTCCCAGCTGACTATTCTAAGACTGTTGTTTCAGGTCACTTTATTTTGGAGTGATTTCTTGTGCAGCAATAGTTAGCTGATACATCTGGGTAGCTTGTTGATATGTAGACCTTGAATTTTTTTGTTGTTGTTGTTGTTTTGTTAGTTCGTTTTTTGGTTTTTTGAGGCAGGGTCTCACTATGTAGTTGAGACTGGCCTGGAACTCACTGTGTAGCCCAGGCTGGTTTTAAACTCGCAGCCATCCTCCTGCCTCAGCCTCCTGAGTGCTGGGATTATAGGTGTACACCACCACACCCAGCAGATATGTAGATCTTGAAACTATGATTCTTTAGACATTTAAAACTGTGTGCTTAACAAATGTCCTTGTGATCCAATGCCATTGCTCTGTAGACCAGACTCCAGAAACGCTGCTTTATACCTAACCCTTTTTATTAGTGTATAATCATGGGAAATCCCTTGATCATTTTTGAACCTCAATGTTTTCAAAGAGGGGATAATATATATTTCCTGTGTTGTAGTTGCAAAGATTAAATAAACATAGATGTAAAGAAAACTAGTTGATTATAGGACTTTGTTCCTTCTACTTCAATTTGTTTCCATCTCACCTCCACCCAACCTCAGGAAGACACCAGTGCGAATATCTTAGGAAAACATGAATCTCAGGGTCACAGCTTTATTGTATAGATTTTTAACACAGCCATATTACAAACGTTGTCAGGGAACATTTACAAGAATAAATAAGATGGACTTGCAGGTGTAAAAAGATTACACTTCACTGTAATGTACAGTCAAAAATATATCTGATATTCATTGACCTGACATCATTTACCTTCTGCTTTTTTTAAGCTAGAATTGGAAAGAAAAAGGAAAAAAAAAAAAAGAACATTGACAGAACAGTGCTGGCTCCTTTTAAAAGTTGATTTGTTTTCTCTTCTCATACGTGCTTTATCTATCAAACACCCAAACTGTACAAGTGTAGGCCGTTTGGATTTGTGGGGGAGGCTGCAAATAATGTGGAGACTTTGGTCTCATGCCATAACATATGCCCATGGGTATAAAAATGTCAGCCTCCATGGAGATGAGTGGGGACCACATGATAGCTGTTAAAGAGCTACAAGGGTGACTAGTAACTGAAGCAATTATAGAGGTCTCAATTTGGTCTTTAAGATGCGAAATGAAAAGAGAAGATACAAAAGAGTGCTTTTGAGTCTGATTACCAATATGGGTTATGTTGGGTTAATCTTGGCAAACCCAAGATGCTCCTAGTGAGGAAATATATGAACTGGGAATGATTCAAATCTTGTATCCACTGTGTCACTGTGCTTTTGAAATCTGTGCCAAGAGGCCTTGAGTGGGGAATTGGGGTAGAAATCTTTGGAGATAATGAACATGGCGAGTGAAGCCTTGCTTTGGGTCCTGCTTGGACCTTTAAGGGCTCTTGCTATTTCTGATGGACCTGTTGACCAGTGGGTTCTCATCTGAGATCTCAGTGGGCCTCATATCTATGGCAAACCAGTTGTTTCTTCTGGCTTAGTGTGTGGTGATGGTCAAGCTTGGATGAGATGAGGATTTTTGGCCAGAATAGCATCTTGGCCGGTGTGTTAAGTAGGCTTAGATGGGAGAGCAGGAGGCTTCAACCTGCACAAAGCATGACTTGACCTCAGGTATAATTGAGTTCAAACATGATCCAAGCTCCACAGGATCTCACCCATCTAGGATGGAAAGGACCAAAAGATCATCTCAGCAATACTTCAGCTGTTCTTTAGTGAGACACCTGGTATCTGTCAGAAGCTACTGAGTTGGACAGCTCATCCTCTCTGGCAGTCAGCAAGTTCTTCCTTACAGCTCTGAAGTTTCCCTCTGGTTCCATTCACAGGAGTAGCTCAGGACTAGAAATTGTGCATGACTTTATCCAATAATCTGCAGTTCTACAGAAGATATGGGTACCAGCATCCCATCTGAACTTCAGAAGCCTGATTTTATGTAGAATGACACTGCTTTGTTCGGTAGGGTGGGCCATGAGTTTGTCAGACCATCACCTAAGGCTGATCAATTTATAGTCACAAACCCAAAGGCACTGAATACTTGTACAAGATTCAAATTTGCAGTCTTACCAGTTTGTTCCTTTACCCCTACCCCCAACCCAAGAGTCCTGCTCACCAAGGAGCCATGAAACACGTTAGCTACCCTGAGCTCCAGGCTTTGATACTCATACTTTCCTAACCAGTACTCCAAAGCCTCTACCTCTTCTTTCTCCAGGAATTCCAATCAAGGACCAGAGTCTATAACCTACCACCCAGAGCAGTACTCAGATACATAGGTAAGTCCCGTGGTTATTTAGTTCTCACAGCTCTTTCTAATAGACCCTCTTCCATCCTGACTCTTCCCATATCCCTAGTGAACTGACAAGCTCTTAGATGGATGTACGCCAGGCTTGGGGGTTAGGCATTGTGAATTCTGATTCCTCCTCTTGGAAACCTAACATTCAGGAGTGGACTTCATAAGTGACTGTGTTCTTTTTGATACCTTTCCTATGTCTTCTGAAGCTGGGAAAGAAATAGGAAAGACATGGTCTTGATTTCTACAAGTCAGTTGAACAGCCAGTCTTATACAAAAGTCTATCCCTGGTTACCAAGAGACTAAGTCTGTTTATGTGCACAGATATGGCATAGAAATCTCTTCTGTATTTCTGGGGATCAGATCTATGACCCTGAAATATGTGCCAGACAAAACTGGAGCTGTCTACCCCTGACCTCTCTTCCTGCTGCTCAGACAGTATATAACCTCAAAGGCAAATTCCTGCCAGCAGAAGCTGAAACTCTGTATTTTACAATTCTTAGCTAAGTATACGTAGAAAACCCCTGTCAGGGAGCCTTTGCATAGGAGTATAGAAACAAGACTGAATCTCAGTTGTTTGTCTCCAGTTGGATTTACTTATTTCTCTGTTATACTTGGCTGTAATTTAGAGCTGATCAGAGGCCGAGAAGAGGCTCCTGTTGGTTTTGTGATGGAAAGGTTAAGTCAGGAAGTCAGATCTTTGAGATTATATGACCATCCATGTTCTATATTGTGGCATGCTCTTCAGCTTTGGTTGAAAACTTGTCCCTGGGATTTTGGCCCAGTACAGACCATTGATTTTTTTGGCTTACATTTGAGTTCACCCATGTCTTCCACAGCAAATCCTGATTCAGCTGGGTGCTGATGGCCAATCTGGCCAGCCTGGGAGTGGCCGCCTGCAGACTAAGGAAAAGTGGCTCTCTTCATTCTGTCCTTAGGCTGTGAGATCCAAGGGAATGATCATTCCCTTCAGTGTTTCTGGAGCTGGATTGGGCAGTCACTGCTCCAGAGATGACATAAGTACCAAGCTATTCCTACCTGGGCCTCACTTCTGTTGTCTATAGAAGCCTCGCTAGAGTGGTAGAGACATGGATCCTACTAAGCTTACACATTAGAATGTAAGTGTGACCAGAGATGGAAGGTGAATGAACATGACTGGTCAGAGGGAAAATGATGATCACCTTTCACCCCAGACACCAAGATATTTTTCCCCCAAAGCTGCACCTTTGCCTCATCCCCTGTCCTGCCATATCATAGAAGTGGCCAAATAATCCATAAGCATCCTGGGCTCTGAGCATTCATTGGCTTCCAATTTTCTGGTCTTGCCTTCCTGTTTTCCTGCTGATGTCCCCCAAATCTATTCCTTATAACACGGCTGAGGCTTCCCTTTGCACGTTTATTTTTCCATGAGTTGTTCAACCCACCCTTTTATAGCCACAAAATGGCAAGGCTAGAGTTCTAACCAAAGACCGAGCTCTTTCCACCATCACTCTACTCCTCACCACAGGATGCACTATGCCGTAGCAATCTGTGCTTTCTGGTAGCACTACTCCAGAGTGATGCATGTTGTATGAACCCAGTGAAACTGTAAGATAAATTGAGTGGCTTTCTAGACCAAAGCCCCTCATGTAAAATGTGTTCAGAGAGTGGATCACATCAGCTAACATGGAGCTCCTCGTAGACAATGGGAACTACCTTCTAGAAGCCCAGCATTCAGGAGTCTGTTGCCTAATGTTGCATCCAGCTTCCCTTTTCCTTTGAGGGATTTGTGGAATCATTCCTCACTATGCCAGATAGGCAAATCCTCCTCATTCTAGTCTGTTAAATGGTTCCTTCCAGCACTCAACTGGAAGAGACCTTAGCTGACATTAACCTGGGAACAGTGAGGTTGGGTACTCCTACGCCAAAGGATCTGCCTGTAGGAGGGCGATGTGGTTTTGAGCTTGAGTCTGGAATTGGCCTTAGTGGGGAAACAGCAGGTCAGACACTATACCACAGAATGGGATATCATTCTCTAGGGTTCATACAAGGGGCCCGAACAGATCAAAACCACGAGATATAGGGGATATTTAAAAAAAGTATTTGTAGAGTCACATTAAAACAAATCAGTTTAAATTAGGAAGTAGAATGCAAATGTTGCACGAATTGTTAAAATATGATACTGTAAAAGAATTTTATACTTACTGTTGGATTTTACCAAGATCTACTGAGCTACCTCTTCCACTCTAGTCTTTACTGTCTTGGGTAACCTCATAGGAAAATCTGAGACACAATGGTAGAAAAGTATTGTCTTTTGGTCAGAAAAACAAAAGTTTAATTTCTGGCTTGCTGATTTACTAGGTATGGAGCTGTGGGCAAGTGATTTCCCCATGGGAGCCTCTGTTTCCTCAGTAAAGAGGTGATATGATAATCACAAGCATTCTTCTTAGGAATATTGGAAGAAATGAGCACACATAGTAGCGCCCCCAGCACAGGTGCAGCTAGTTCTGTGTGATGATTGACATCTAGTGGGCCATTGCTCAGGCCACATGCACAAAGAAGGCCAACACTAAAGGCAAGCTGGTGCCTTTCTCCCCACAAAGGGAGACTTGCCGCGGCTGTCTACAGGCTCAGAGGTACCCGGCTGGCCCAGGATCTTCACACCAGATGGGTGAAAAGACACGATGTTGGGACACAGCTGAGATATATTGTGAATCTATCTAGGCCACAAATATACACAGGTTGGGACAATTTCTGGCTTCTCATTAATTCTTTGCATCTTTTTCAAATGAGGTCCCTATTTAGGAGATGAGAGCCAGAGGAAGATCTTTGCTAAGGGAGGGTGCTCTTTGGCACCTTGTAGTTGAGAGTGTTTCTGTTGTGAAGAGCATGAATACTATTTCCTCTTCTCATAGAAGGGTGAGCCTACTTTGTTACTAAGGTGGGGATATATCTGGAGAGGTGGTGTTTGCTTGGGAGATTTCCTGGGCAAGAGATCAAGTCCAAATTCTGCGCACCTTCACCTGATTTCATTCAACCCTTGTCCTATAAGCCTTCCTGTGGGGTATTAGAGAAGTCATCTCCATCCATGAGCCTCAGTTCTTTTCGTGTACACTAGCCCAAGACCAGCTCACTACCCTACCTTCTTTGGAGGGTGGTTGAATTGTGACAAAATGAGGGAACAAGCTGGCCCTTGGGTTAACTCTACCATGGCTTGAAGTTTTACAAATTTCCTTCTCCCTGAAGCCACCTTTTAAATTTCTACCATTTTAAATGGTAGAGGCCCCTCTCATTTTTATCTGCAGCTATTTCCTTCCTTTCTGAACAGAATAAATCTTAGGGTTTGTGTTGAACAGCCCTCAATTCAACCTCAGCTTGTCTGGATGAGCCAAGATCTCAGGAAATAGTAGACACTGGCCAGATATACCATGCGGCAATCTCCTCGAGGATGGGAGAGCCAGTTGGGGCAGTGGACTGGAGCCAGAGGAAGCCAGCAGGACCAGTCAGAGCTGGGCCCTGGGGACTTGGCTCAAATACACCTGGGAGGAGGCTCATCAAAGAAGAAGAGTGAGTTAGTCACAGGGGTCCTTTGCTTGCCTTTGCTTTGAGATTTCCTTTTGAACTTCCGAAATGACAGCTTTCTTGATCAAGTCTGGTGGTCTGGACATCTAGACAGCTTCAGAGCCTATGCCCATGGAAGAAGCTTCTGTGGGACGCTTTCATGTTCCATTTTAATGGGCTTGGAGGCCTGGCTTGCTGACCCTGCTCTGTAGGAAAGCAGAGATCCGGGTATCTTACAGGAACAGTGTCTCATGACCAACTGCATATTTTGTTCCAGCCACAAAATAATGAGCAGAAAGACAAATAGATACAGTATTTTAAAAAATAACACACTTAAGGGAATGTTTTCACAGTGTCTGATGAAAGGAGAAGAGGCAGCCCCACTGGCCTCTTCAGCACTGGGGTGAGCACATCACTGTGAAGCTTTGCTGGCTTCTTGTTGACCACAGGACAACATCTGCACTCTCTGTGGGGCATCTGTCTTCCTGACCCTAGCTTACTTCCTGCCATTCTCCCGTCCTGCTATGTTCTAGCTGGGCTGGCCTCTCATCCTGTCTTTCCTGATGCCTTTTTGTACCTCTTTGCATTGCAGATACTGACCCATTAGCTTGAATCTCCTTGTTTTCTTTTTTCTTTTCTTTTTGGTATCTGACGAGACCCAGCTGGAATGGATGCTACTTCCTTTAGAGAGACCTAGGCAGAGTGAATCTCTCTTGCACAGTAAGCATCTAAGGGCACAAACTGTGCCTTATTGAATTCTGTGATCCTTATACCCTAGACCAGCTTGCAAGATGGAGCTTCTTAGATCTCAGGACACCTGAGTCTGTCAGATATTGTACCTAAGCACTGGCTAGAGACCAGGGTAGAGAGTGTCCCTGGCTGGCTCTCTTATAGCCTGAGGGAATAGAATTGTTTTTCACTAGAGGAAGAAATTAGATGAAACCAGCTTTCCAGGGGAGCAAGGAATGAGTTACTAAAATATATCTGAAAATGTGGGCTTCTCAGAAGAACTGGCATCAGAAAGAAAGAACTAAACTTTTGTTCATGAAGTTATCTGTTCAGAAGTGTCCAGCCTTATTTTTTTTCCATAAATAAAATAATTGCTTGGCTGAGAAAGTAGGAAGAAAACAGTTCAGAGAAGTTTTGTTGTCTTTGTCTGCCTTTTTGGAGCCCAAGATTCCATCACTGAAGAAGGTTCTTCAGTTTTTCAACTGCAAAATGGAGATGATAAGCACTCCCTGCTGGGGCTAATGAGACTACTGAGGTGTCATGTGGAAGGTGCCACGCATAATGCTGGCACATAGGAGATACTTAGCACATACTGGCTGCCTTTCCTTGACTCACTCATACTTTGGGCAAGACTCAGAGTCCCAGGTGTAATTCGTTTAAACCAAAGCATGACTGGGTCCACAATGGCCTTTAGCAAGATGGATGCTAGACTTCTCTAGGAAGAAGCTCAAATTTGGAGATCCAAATTATGCTCAAAGCTGGTACCCAGACACCATTTATTGACTAGCCCATCTCTCCCTTGCTCAATGGCTATACTATCCTGGGTGGGAACCTTTCAAGGACACAACCAGGCAATATAATAGGCTCATTGCTTCACACTCAAACTCCCACCTTAGCTTTTTAACATAAGAGACTAAGATTTTGTACCTTTAACAGAAAATTTCTTTTCACATACACTTGGGAAAACAACCAAATCTTATTTTCTTCAACCCTCCCAGAGGAAGCTACCACCCCGGAAACATAAGGGTTATACTGTACAAGCCAGCCAGAACCCTGCACCAGGCTAGTACCTTTTACAAAGGAAAGGAGGAGTCGCAACATTCCCCTACAGTTCCACCTCCTCCCACAGACTACAAAAAAGGAAAGAAAATCTTTATCGAAGTGTGCTGTGGGCAGAGCTGGCTGGCCAGTGAGTGACAGACGGTAAAGGCCTGGGCTGGGGAAGGGATATAGAAAGGTAGTGGGCCAAGCCCCATGCAGGTTAGGTGTGAGGACTGAGAGGAGCCTCTGCTGTGGTCTAGGGCTTATGTGGAGGTCACCCTGATCTAGAGGAATAGGTGTTCTAGTTCCAGAGGCCTCTGAAAGAGGTTGCAGGGGGCATCAGAGTAGTGACTTCGAAATCCCCATTCTTTTCCATAACAACTGCATGGAGGAGTAGAACTCACATTCCCAACACTCCTAAAACAAGGAGGGAAAAAGAGGTGCTGGCCAGCCTCCCGCGCCCCAGCACCTGCACAGTTGGCTTGCCATGAGATTCACAAACTCAGAAAGAACAAAAGCAAAAGGTCTGGGAGCCACAAGTCCAGGGCCTTGTTTGTGGGTGCGCTTCCATTTGGGCCCTGGTTGTGGCTGGTCTGGTTTGGAAGGGATCCCAGGCTTGCAAGCATAGCATCTCCCACAGGAGACCTCTCAGAAGGTACAGAGCCCACTGCAGAACATGGAGCCACAAGTCTTCTTTTCGGAGTTAGGCAGGGGTGCCACCTCTGAGTCCCTGGGCCCAGTCACTGCCTTTCAGAGAAAAAGGGGCCTGGCCACAGCAGCCTCTGAACTCTGGCAGGTTCCCCATCCCATTGGGCTAAAAGGAGCTTAAATATTCCAGTGCCACCTCGTATACAAATTTATACTGTTCCTGAGAGGAGGAGAGACAGAAAAGGAGATAAGAGAGATAAAAAAAAGGAAAGGGAAGACATATTAGATTAGAGATAAAGATTTTGGAGGAAATTTTATCTACATCCATACTGAAAGTCAAGAAATTATACATATCTGGACATCCTTTAGTGTTCTGCTTGAGGCCAACTTCTACACTAGCTTTCTCGGATACCTAATGGGGATAATTTCCTTTCTTTTTAGGATTCTGTACAACAGTGCTTCTTGAATTATAACCTATATACAAAAAACCCAGGAATGGCTGTTAAAAATGCAGATTCTAATTCAGTAAATCTGGGGAGGGACATAAGATTCTGCATTTCTTACCACTCTAGGTGATGCAGATGTTGCCCAAGTAGCATTTCATTTTGAGTAAGGTCACACTTTGGGTGGCTTTAAAGACTTATATTCAAGTTCCTCATGTTGGGTCTGTTTCCACCATTGTACAAAGTCTCATCATCTTGGGCTCTGTCTTTCTACTTTCTTTGCTATCTTTTTCTTCATGGTGTCCTAGTTCAATGCTTTATACTATAAAATTAGCATAAATGAATTAGAATAGGTGTGGACTGAATTGAAATCATAATTCTTACTTTACTAATACAGAATTCCTTCACTTAAGCCTGAATTAGTGACATTTGCCTAAAGAATGGGCAGAAAGTAGAACAAAGTAGGTGCACTGGGATTAATATTTGGATTTTTCTGCAGGAGAAAGAGATTGATGGGGCTGGAAGGGGGAGAAACAGGCAGACAGCAGCGTATACAAAGGGCAAAGACTGTAGGTACTCAGTACGCACTCAGCTTTTGAAGGATTTTACTAGTTGATGTCATTCTCTTTAAGTCTAAGGAACTATAGTGAGTTCCAGGCTCTTGAACGGTTCTCAGGATACTCACCAGGGTCTCCACCATGTTGGATTTGTTATTCCGCAGTGTTTTCACAATGTGGAACACGTCGATGATGTTTTGTTGCTGGATCATCTCACACACGCTGCAGATGGCACAAAAGGTTCCACTGCGGCCTCCTCCATTTCTAAACACAGAGAGGAGAGGTCAGCCACAGTCCTGTCCTACCCTCACTGACACCTGGTGATTTTAAAGTCATGGGGTAGTAGTGAGGACTGGCTGCCTTGGCAAGTGCTAGGTAAGCCAGGAAGTGGTGGAAGCTTTAGCCTGGGCCATGAGTTTTAGTTTGAATACCATTTCTGCCATGAAGCTTTTTCCATTTGGACAAGTTGCTTCCTCTGTCTGAGCTCCAATTTCTCATTCCTATAATGAAGGCGTTGGACCAGAAGACTTGTGAGGGTTTGATTGGCTTGACGTTTCTTTGGTTTTATGAGCAAATGACATTCACCCTGGGCACACCTACCCGCACCTCCATGATAGGGTGACATTGTGTCTTTGTACCTGGAGTACCTGCACCTTTGTCTAAAATGATACTCTGGTTGTACCTACATATCCAGTGCAGAAAATGGAATGTTTTGGGTGATTTTCCTACTACTTTTTCCCCCATCTTCCTCTAAGAGCAGCCAGCCCAGGTTGGGGCCTGTGGGCCTGGGTTGGGCCTAGGGGTGTGTGTATGTCCTGAAATCCAGGTCTCTACATGTATATCTTCAAGCAAGATCCTGCTGAGTGTGAGGATACGAATACTGTTCTTGGCAAAGCCATCTTTCTGTTACTCCTTCTTTCTGAAGCTCTATAAATCATCTTCACAGACACATCCCTCAAACTCCTTATAGAGCGTTCCTTTAGGAATCTACCTGATTTCAAACTCCTGGGCATGCTGCCAACAGCAGCTAATGATTTCCTGTAATGGGCCGTGTCTAAAGAACATCTGGACAGAAACTAAGTTGCTCAGTCAGTCTCTTAGACATTTTATCTACAGGACACCCATCAACCAGATGTTTCAAGTACAGATAGCCATCCTCCCTTCACTGGCTGCTGGCTCCATTTCAGTGTCTGTTATGGTTCCCAGGACCCCCAGGGATACCCAGATTCCCGTTAGTAGATGACATTCCTGTGCTTTCCTTCAATTCAAACTGCTGGTCATCCTGGCTAGGACAGACATGGATAAAAAGGTACTTCTGGAAAAAAAAAAAAAAAAAAAAAAAGGCCA